TGCTGTGTATGCTGCTCCCAGATGCTAGAAGTGCAAAGACCAATAATGAAAACCAACGCCGGCAGTGAAAGTCTGTCATTAAACACAACACTCGGGGAGTGTGGGGGGGAACAGCTTTTAATGAAACAGGTCACGACAGTCTGAAGGAAGCTGACAACAACAGGGAACACTGGGGCTGACGTCTCCAAGTCTTCTCAGCACAAAACCATGGTTAAAAATAACAGCCATAACCCCTCAGACAATGAAGTTGTGTTTTATTACACCTATAAAAACACGCGTTTTTTTTTTTTCTGAGATAATAAACAGATGGTTGTATTATGCTCAGAAGCAAATGGGAACGGACTATTTAGTACTGACATTAGATATTAAAAATTAATAGTAAGCGTGGATGTTTGTATGGACGTTTGGCCAGTGCTGTCCCAGCAAAGGATGCACAGCCCTGCCTGCTCCTTTCTTCCAAACAGGAGGAGGGAAAGAAGGGGACAGGGGAGCTCAACCTGCAAAAGCAGAAGAGGAAGAATACCCCCAAAACCAGAAGGCTGATTTAAATTTGACTTTGATTATCCTATTTATGGAGATGATCTCCAGCTACACTTGCCTGTTCATGCAGTCCATGAGGTGATGTCTCTGCTTACCACCTGCTTGTCTGCAGTCCAAGCCTGAATGACAGCTAGTGTTTTTTTAGCTAGTGCCAAGGGAGAAAAGAGGCTTTCCACTAGCCTGAATTAGGCATTTGCAAACATCCTGCAATGTTTGTGGTCCTAGTGACTGATAGTCACCTTACAAACCACAGGGATAAACCTGCGAGGTAAACCAAATGGAATTTTTTCCTCTGTGTGTGCATCTGCATGTGAGTGCACATTTACCAATGCAACAGAAATCTCTGTGAAAATCTTTATTATGTTTCCAAGTTGCAGCACACACTAATTTGTCAGGATTTGGAACCTGATTCAGGCACTAGTCTTGTCTAGACGAGACTATCGTAATTCTCTGACAAATGGCATTTTTTTTCCAGCTGCTTAAACAGCCTTCATGGAAGTCCTGTCTCCCCATGCTTGCCTGCATCCAGGACAAACTTGAAAACACTTCTGTCCCTCTCCCTTTTCTTCACTGTGTAATCTCCTCATTTATAGACAGACACTTGAAATTGCCACACAGCATAGATCCACAAGTAAATCATCAGGAGCCCTGGTACTGAAATCCTTGTGCCTGTGCTTAGCCTCTAGGAAATAAGCAGTGTTTCCCTTCGGGATGCTATTCACATGCTTCAGAACATGATGAAGCATTTGCAGAGTCAGGACCAGGATGGATACCTCATGCACACTCTTCTATACACACACACACAAAAGAAATTTCTGACCTGTTACTAAACGCGGTTATATTCCAGGCAGCAGCATCATAGCACAGCCACTGCCAGGTTTTCACAGATTGTCCTATCTAGGCAGCTTCTCAGGAGTCTGATTCATGTTCTCACCACTTAGCAATTCAAAGGCATTCTTCAATTTGATATCCAGCTCCAGTGAAACCTTCTCTAAACTTGTGATTTTCTTTGAAGAAGTCTCTATATAATTGGCCTAGAAGGAGCTTCCTGACTACTGTATGAGACAGCAAACTTTTAAAGCCAACATTTCTGGCTGAAATCTACATTGCAGCAAAGCCGGAAGGGAAAATCTCTACAGATACCCAGCATGGTTCCTATACACTATAAATTGTCTTTATTTATTTATTAAATATCATTAAGGCGAGGGCATCTGGCCCCTTGCAAAAACACTGCTCTGGTCCCATTGCAGTTGTAATTAATGTGGCATCTTCATTTGGGAAGGAAGGGCATAAGCCCTGAAAGTGGTCAGAAGGCAGTTGTGTACGTCCTTTTTGTGCTGCTAAAAGGAGGTGCACAGAAAAAAAAAAAAAAAGAGAGTTTTAACATCTGCTGGCCTGTGCCAGCTTCTTTTTCTTTCTGCCCCTCTGGCCCATGTTTGGACACTTCCATTCTGCTCTCGGTGCCTGGATATCTTGGCAAATTTCCTGAGATACGCAGTTAACTATTTTCTGGGAAGGAGGATGGTAATTGGGGGGATATTCTGCTTTTGATGTGCAGGGCAATTAAATCCTCAATGAATGGAGGAGAAAATGAAGCATTCGGTGTCACTTGAAAGAAAAGATGTGTAGTGCCATTCCTACACACCAGTGTGAAATACAGAGGGGCACAAGGGCAGAACAGAGCTCTTTATGTTACAGCCGGAGCTGCCTGCAGATGTAACAGCACAACAGCCCATTCAGAAGGGAGACTATACAATAGGTCATGAGAAAAACCTGTTGCTCCTGATTAAGTTTGCAAATACTGTATCTGTAGGGATTCGGAGACGTGGCTGTGCCAGATGAAAGGTCCCAACTGGAATTAGAGCGAGCAGCAGTGCTACGTCGCCATCCAGTCTGATTAAACGGGTATTCACCAAATCACTCTGTTATTGCCTTGTACAAATTACCTAGATACCAATTATTAGATACCAGTTATTTTGCCTAACTTTAAAGTAGTTATAACTACTAGTAGTTAATAACACACTCTGAAGCAATTAGTTCCATTAATTAAAAGAACATACTCTAATATTCACTTCTTTCATCCAATCATAAATATTTTCAAGAAGAAAGCAAACTGCCTCTGGGATTCATTCCACCTTCAAAAGCTCTAATATAAAGAATTAGAGGAATGTCAGCAGATCATGATTCTTTCTTAAATGTCACAGAGGTTTACTAAATAGAGTTTAAGTACTACATAGAGGCAACTTCCTTATTAAACAGAGAGAAAATTGGGAAAAATCACAGCATTATTGGTCAGTTTTTGCAACGTGGGCTTTAAATAGCTTCTCAAGCCACATATGTATGGCATTGAAGGATAGATAAGGGCCTTTGTATAATGGCTAAAGTATAAAAATCAGCATTATTCTACCTGCAAAGCCAAGAGGACAAATTCAGGCATAGGCTAGGCAGAGTCTTTGGTAGGAAAAGTATGAGTGGTGAGGAGGCCTGGCTTTTCTGATTTGAGCTCAGTGAAAAAGAAGAAATTAAAAAAAAAAAAAAAGTGAGAAAAAAAAAAGTGTCTGATTGAGGGGGGCAAATCCCATTAATTCCCAGACACTGCATGCTTACACAAATCTGGCTCTTAGCCATTGAGACTGCACAAGTATGACCATAACTCAGTATAAGATCAGGCTGAAACTCAGATATACATCGTCCCAGGTACCCACACATAAAGAGCTACCTGAACTTGCCTGTGTAATAGGGGTGTCACAAAATGCATGATATTGTAGCTATTCTTCCTAAAATGCTTCTCCATCTCTAACGAAGATGGCATTTCCCACTGAACAACTTGCACTGTGTCTAGCTGACTTGCACTTTTTAAACTGCCTCCATCTTCAGTTGTTGGATTTAAAAGGCCTCTGAAACTATTTACAAGCCACATCAGAAAACAGGCTGCGACTGTCATGTCACCCCACTGAAACCAGAGGATGGTCAGCTGCTGCACAGGGACAGAAGGAAGTCAGCTACATACAAAATACCTCCAGGAATCAGCTTCATAACACAGTAACTGTGAAGAAATGGGGATATGATAGCTGTGGAGGACAACGAGAGCTGAGCCATAACGTGAGAGATGCAAGGCACGCACAGGAAATACCACAGCTACGGCAGTTTCTGCTCTTGCTGCAGAATGCTTTTCATTTGGGGCCTGATGCTCGGCCTGTCGAAACCAGTGGGAGATCTGTCACTGGCTGGAGTGGCAGCAAGGGGAGAGTCAAGAGCACCAGACGCAAGAAGTGGCTTTGTGTCAACATGAAGCAAAACTGCTAATGCAGAAAGAGGCAATTTACTTACCAAAAGAAAAAAAAAAATGTTATTTGTTCAATTCTATAAGGATTTCAGAACTTAGGCTTTTAAATGTACATTAGCACTCTTACACAACCAAGTATTTACTTTTCCTGTCTAACTCATTTTCTTCATTATTGAAGATCCCCAGAGTCTTACCTAGATCCAAGTGGGTTTATACTTTAACTCTCAACATACCATTTTAAAACAGTTTTAAAAAGCCTCTCCCGCTCTCCACTGCTTATATATCAGACCCAGGGTCATGACTAAATGTCTGTCCATAATGACATGAAAAAGATTGCTTCAGAAAGACAACTTTATTACTGTTTTCTTATATACGAATTAGAATAAAATCCCTCGCTTTATTTTGCTACAATGAATCACAAATCTTTAAGAATGTCTTGGGAAAAGGACCATTTGCTTTGTTGTTTTTCTTATGTAGCTGAGGTGTTTTCAGATGAAAGCAATCAAGTGTTATTTGCCAAAGCAGTTGCATTGAAACTCTTTGTAGTGACTGCCTTTCTGGAGGAATTACATTATAAATTAAAGCCAATGCAATTTGGCTACTTTTATGCCTATGCTATTGCATAACAGAAATGCAACGTTCAAAAATCTCATATACGAACCATGTATTTATGGAAAACATACTGTCTATGATAACTGTGCCCAGAAAAATCACTGCAAACCAACTATTCTGCAATGTATTCTCCTCATATTTCCTTCCTTCCCTTAAGTCGATCAGAAGTGGCTCAATATTTGATGAACAGAAAACACAGATTACACAATCAACTTGCTATTCTGGATAATATTTTATCCATCAATCTGTTTAAAAACAGCAGAAAAGAAATTATAATGACCTCATTTTCTACATCCAAAGTGACAAGCTTTTTGGCCTATGCCCTGCAGCCTACCTAAATTTTTCCTCTCAAGTATTGCCAAGGAGGTATTCATACTTTTCCAAAAAGCACATCTTGGGCTTCTGGTTATACGGTTTCACACACTGGTTAAATAAAATTAGAAATCCAGCCTAAAAGAAATTAAACATGTCACAGACATCTAGACACGCTATTCCATTACAGAGATTATTTGGAAGTGCTACAATTTGATGCTATGGTTTCCTTAATTTAATTTAAAATTACCTCAAGAATGTTAATCATCTCCCAGCAGTAAATCCCCCGTGTGCCAAGCGTATTTCGTAGTACCTACAACTCTTTGTCCACGCTGATTGGGATCTCCAGGGGATTAGGTGGTCTACCTACAGAAAGGCCAAAGAGAGATGATTATTCAAAACGGCCTTTGAAAATCAGACTGCCTCATAATCCATCATAACCACTAGTCTTCAGTGGGAATCAATAGCAAAGATCTGTCAAGTATATATTTGGCATAATTTGCTAGTTTACCAGAACATAGGTGTTATAGTTATTGGCTCAGAGTACTGCCTGAGGGCTACAACTGAGCCTGCACTCCCAAAGTGCTGCATGAACCTCTGGTAAATGATAGTCCCTGGCCTCCAGGAAGCTGGATCACCTCCTGCTACAGATACAGACTGGTACCAGCAAGGTACCCTACACCACTCTGAAGCAGCCATCCTCCTAAACTGCTGCTGAAGGTCACAGCTTTCTGAAGTTGGACACTTCACAGGGCCTGGTCATACAGTTACTGCACTTCAGCTGAGGCATCACAACTCTCTCCATGCATGCTTTTAGCCCAGTGCAAAGGCAAGTAATGACAATTAGCAAAACACAGTGTCACTGTGGATTATGCGAAGATGAATTGCATCACTTTTGCAGAAGGTTAGGAGAACACACAAGGTCTGTTCCAAATCTCTGTTGACACAGGGAAATCTGATTGTGTGTCTGAGCTCCAATTCCCCCGTTGGCCAACACGTAAGGTTTATGAACATGGAGTTCTCTCCTACACATCTGTCATGCATCTGAGGTGTGACAAACAGAAATACAATGATAGTAAATGCTCTAACCATGGAGTCTCACATAAGGTTAACAAGAAAATAAGTTCGGGCTTGGCTGCATGGACTCAGGCTGCCAAGCAACTTGAATTTTCAGAGTAAAAACACTTGTACAAGCAATGGGTGCAAGCACTGAGTCTGACTTCAGAGGTTACCATGAGGGAAATGAGGAGGAGAAAATGAAAGTCAAATTTCTTGTTCTTTTACCAGGGAAAAGAGGCCAGGAGTGGACAGCGTGGCGTGCCTTTGCCAACAGCAATGAACTCCAGAACTCCCAATAGAAGTGTTCTGCGAGTCCTATGATCTCAAACAGAAAGAGGCAGTAGAAGAATATCATTCTTTTCACACATATCCCACAGAAAAAAAAATAAATAAAAATATGAAGGAAAAGAAGGGAAGCATGCTTGCACTGCAGAGCAAAGCACTCTGGTGCTCTGTGTTTAATTTGGAAGACAAAACGGCGTGCCAAATAGGGGTGGGATCATTTGTAGAACACGGGAATAAGTTGTTTCTCCAGCAGAAGGGATTTTTAAGAGGAACCATTCTGGGTTTGGAGAAATGCCTCCATGCTTCCGTGGCAGCTGAACAGTCCAGAAGGAGGAGCGGATAATGGCAGTCACTAGTGCAGAGCGAAGTGCAGGGCTGGAGACAAAGCTGACTGGCTTGGATACTGAGCACGAATGTCATACTCCAGCAGGAAAAGCAGCATTAAAGTCAGAGAAAAGGCAATCCGGCTTACAAATGTTTGGTGAAGGAATGTCAGAAAGAGAACTATTTAATGGAAAAAGCAGCTCGGAGGAGTTAGATAATCCCGCTGAACAGGAGGATGTTGACAGCATGGTTTGAATGGGCACAAGGACCCTTCCCTGAGGAAGATGGCTGACAGCTAACTCGCTGACATGACCGGGACAAGAAGTGGTTCAGATCCAGCCAGACACCACGGAACAGCAGGAATATGGTGGAGAGACCACAGCCACAGAGCTGTGCTGGGGTCAGGAGGCCATGAGCCAAGACAGGCTGATCTCAGGGACTTGGAGCACCATGAAGTAAACAGGCGGGATGCGGACAAAGGAAACAGGAGGCATCCCCGAGACTGCCACAGCCTTGTAGGAAGATGTGGTTCTGCTCGAGAAAAGGGTCTCCATCACAGCTACAGGCTGAGGAGAGCAGCACAAATCACCCTGCCACACACGGGCCTCATGGTGTTGTTCCTACATGTCTCAGAGGGTGGTTCCGGGCCTCACGCTGAACAAACAAAACAGTAAAGCCATTCAGTTTTTGGAATCGGCCATAATCCATCAAATGCCACGAGAGGCAAGGTGAGAGAGCAGCTGTACATACAGGCCCAGCTTTTATTTGGAGGAACGCTGCAGTAATCTCGGCAGCTCAAGGAGCTGAGATCACGATGTGGATACAGCTCCCAGGCCTGAGGTGAGCCAGGGGACTGACCGGCTGGTCAAGCAGAAGGGGAGCAGAAAGCAGGCGTGCACGGGGCTGACAGTGGGACAAGCCCGTGCGGTTCTCTGAAATCCCAGCCCAGGCTGAGGAAAAACCCGTTTGTTTGGCCTGAGAGCATTTCATCCACCAGCAAAGGGTAACAACCCGAATGGCAGCGAGGCGTGAGTCACGGGGCAGGTACTAGCTCAAAACCAGACACAGCTTTTGTGACTCCCCACGCAAAGTGCTGAGCTCAGCTCTGGGGCCTGCAGAGCAAGAAGGACACGGACCTGTTGGGGCAGGTCTGGAGAAGTCCATAAGGATGACCAGAGGGCTGGAGCACCTCTCCTACACAGACAGGCTGAGAGCTGGGGTTGTTCAGCCTGGAGAAGAGAAAGCTCTGAGAAGACCTTACAGAGAGAGGGCTGCCAGTGCCTAAAGGGGCCTACAGGGGAGCTGGGGAGGGCCCCTGTGTCAGGGAGTGCTGTGATAGGACAAGGAGCAGTGGTTTTAAACTCAAAGAGGGGAAATTTAGATTAGACATTAGGAAGAAATTCTTCACTGCTTCCAAAAATCAATTTACAGCCCAGTTTAAGTGTGCGCACCCCCATCTTGGCTTGTAAGGTCCTGGAAATGAAAATAAGGCCCAGTTACACAGCACAAAATGGACCATGTTTAAACTACACAAGATGGATATTTTAATAGAAAACATCATGCAAGGATGAGGAAAGCACAGCACGCTGTCTGAACTCCTCCTACAGCATATAGACTCCTGGCATTTCTGGAAATATGCATAATTGCACACAATGCCTGAAAATGGCCCCTAGCTTGTTGTGCACTGTGGTTGTGCCTCACCTACAGGCACAAACCTTGCTGGCTTTCAGCTATCCAGCAGGGTAGAACTACAGCATCGCCGAACTGGCTCGTGTTCATTCCTTCTGACCTCACAGCAAGAATAAATACATTGAACATCAAGAGGAGTTCAGGTATTAGTCTAAGCAGAGTCTATATAATTACTAAAAATAGATGCTATGGAAAATCCCTGTGCTTTAAGCATAGCAGCTTTGGGCCAAATTCCAGAGGCTGTTACAACTGACAATGTTCACATTTGTTAAGCAGCATTGCAGGCCACATCTAGCCTACTGGGGACTCTAAAAATGTATGTTTTACTAATGAATTTTATGCTACCTGTGCCAAATCAGCTAGTTTATTTGGGCACATTCATGTAAATTGGACATTGACTTGGAGCAGAAATAAAATTCTTCAACTTTACAGCGCTGTGGAATAAAGGGGATGTGTGCTCTGGGTCGAGGAGAACATTTGGCACATTGTCTGAGGGTCCTGAATGCTTTGAGGAGGGTGTATTACAGCTTGGTTAGAGGCTCTGGTGTTTTGGAATGGTCTTTTTTTTTTTTTTTTTTTTTTTTGGATAAAATATTCCCCCACAATATTTCCTATCAATCTGGAAAAAAATAGGGTAAGTAGTAGAAAATCATTTACGCTCACAAGCAAACATGTTTGGAGTCTGATGTTGGGTTATATCAATCAAGAGAGCAGGAGGGAAAGGGCTGGTGCTGCACTTGACACTGGCTGTGTCCCAGCTGCTTGCCATCTGCACCCCTCTCTAACGAAGCATCTTCCTCTCCACGACACGCAAATTCCTGTAGCTTGCCATTAAACAAACCAGGGAAGCTCATTGCTCATCTTACCTGCATAAGAGACAGGAAAATCCAGTAGTTCTTGGGTGATTGGGGATTAGCAGACACAACATCTGTGCTTACAGCATTGCTCCATTCCCTCCTAGGGACCTGAGCAATTAACCAGAGAGAAAATAGAAGTAGCATTACTTTGTGGGAGGAGTCAGCATTTCCAAGTGAAAACTTGTTTCTTAGGCACAGCGCAAGCAGGGAAGAAAATCTCATTTCATACAGTTCGTCACTGTCCTTTGATGAAGTCTTAGTTTTCCACATTTCCCCCCTCTTTGCCTCGCCTTCCCTCTTTCCCCCCATCTCCTCTCACAATTCCCAGCCTGTGTTTCGGACAACAATGCCACAGCTGAAAGGCCATTATGCAGATTCATGAATACATAATTCAAAATCGAGCCACCACAACAGTTGCTCTTACTTTTTAACCCCATTGTCGGCCAAGCGGCGATGTTCAGCTGCGACAGCAGCCGAGGGAAATGCGACACACGCAGGTTTTCCCACAGCCTTTCGCCCCTGCTGCAGGCTAATCCCATTGAGAGCATTGATGCCCGCAGCACAATGCAGCATCCCTGCCGCGGCCAGGGACCGGCCACAGCCCCGCCGCCCCGTGCCAGTGGATGCCCCGCTGCAGTTTTGGTCTGGGTTTTGGGGAATAAGGACAAACCTCTTGGGCTGCAGCGGTCCCAACCTGGCGTTAGATGAGGAAGCTGCTGTATTAGCTTGAATGTGAGATACGTTATTATTGTTATAATATTATTGTTATAATTAACAGCTATATTAAGGTAGTGTTTGCTCTAAAATGAAATACAAAAAAAAAAAAAAAAAAAAAAAAGCTATTATATTCTCATCCCACTGCTCATACCATTTTATTGCCACCTGCTCGTTTCCTTCTGCCTTTTTAGGCTAAATTTTAGCCAAGGAACAGGGCTTCAGGAGCACACCTGCAGGTCTCACAGCTTGCAGGACAAAGGCTGTGTTTTGTCCCCCGTGACACGTGGTTCAGGTAGACCCACGGGCAGCACGCTCGCACTTGGCATTAGGCTCTGCACAGCGTGCCGCACTGTTAACTTGTCTAACTGCCCCAGTGCAAGCATTGTTATCTGTAAAACAGCCCCTTTAATTTAGCCAATAAAAGCCCGGTTTTGATTAGTATCAGATCAATTCAGTCTTCTCAGTAATTTGCAGGGGTTTCCTAGACAGCTCCGTTCTCCTCGGAAGACCAAAGAAGGCTCAGCCCAAAGGTAATTGTGGCACTTAAATTAAACCGCAGTAACTTGGGTGCCTTTTTGCCTATTTCCAGACAACTGCAGTGAAAGCAAGTACAGAAACTCTTTGGTGCTCTGCAAAGATCCCGCACAAGAGAATGAGATAACCGACTCTTTAGCGAGTGGATTAATAGATTGTGAAAAGCCTGTCTCAAAAATTCAGCACAAGCTTTTCTAATGGTCTATGGCCAAGTGAATGATGGGCTGATTTTTATTAAGTTTCGCACAAAGGTGAATTAGTGTCTTTCACTATGGCAACGGCAATAAAAGGATACAGAATGACTCCGAAAGGTCCTGGCTGTCTGGGGAAATTGGTTGACATTCTGCAAGCCCATTCAACCAGGAAAGGGGTTTATTGTGTGCACTTCCCCCAGGTTGACTGTGCCAGTTCCATGTGCCACCCCGGTCAGCCCGCTGTCCTGGGGCAGGACAAGAAGAGCAGGAAAAGGAGAGCTCATCTGGACCCACAGAGCAGCGGGGTTTGAAAGGAAACCCTCCTGTTTGGTGTCTCAGTAGGTGGACTATCTGATGTCGTCCCCTTAAAACCTCAATGCTCTTTTCCAATGATCATTGTCATATTCTACAGCTCCCAGCACCCAGAGGCTTGGTTAGTGATACCAAAAATAACTAGATAGAAAAGGCACCCTTGTTCATGCTCTGAAAGGAGCAGATGGAATAAAACCCAAGAGACTGAGCATTTAGGCTAGCGAATGCTGTGCTGCTGGGCCAGGTTCCTAGAGAGGTCTTTTTTCTTTATTGAAGAACCGTGCACCTGTGTGGCAAAACAGTCATTTCCCTCCACTTTCAGTTTAAAAACGCTGTTAGTTTGACATAAAAACACGAATCTTAAAATTTTGCATGAACCCATCACGCGTTTCAGCTGCCCTCCGCAGAGCCTGAGCCAAACTGTTGAACTCTCCCCTCCTGCCTTCCCCGTCAGCCTCGGATGGTGTTAGCTGCACAAACCTGTGCTCCTCACCTCCTGCCACAGTTGCCTACCCTCACGGGGACGTAACTTCGTATTCTATTAAATCACAGAATCAGAGAATAGGTGGAAAGGAAGAACCTGCAGAGGTCAGGAGGTCCAACTCCCTGTTATCCAAAATTTTCACCCATTTTTTACATTTGTCAAAATTCTCTTGCAATCTGTCCCTTGAGCTTCACCTTCTCTGTCATCTTTTGATACAGGAGCTGCTTGGTGGACTCTCCCTCTTCCGCAGCACCCACAGCAGTTCTTTGCCCTGGCTTAGAAGCACTTCTCTGAGGATGCCAGAGATCCTGGTGGGGCTGATTGCATGCCATCCCCCTTTGTTTTACAGAAAGAAGGGTGGTGCCTTCAAAGCTTCAAAGGATTGGGTGACTTGGCCAATTCCTCCTGTTGGTCTTCTGCCCTGTGTATTAGCAACGTGCTCGACCAGGCTGCACTGCACACAGCATCACAGCAGCACCAGCTCTGAGGGACCTCTGCTACTAAAAGGGGTTGAAAACCACTTCATCAAAGAAAAAAAAAAAAAAAAAAGAACAGTAAGGAGTGACTAAAGGATTGGGAAAAAACATGAAGAGAGGTCTAGGTCGCAGCCCAAGGGCACTAATCAATAAAAATAAACAGTAATCTCCCCCCGAGGAGAAACGTTCCATACCTTTTCATTTTATTTCTTCAGGAGTTGATAGGAGCTGAGGGAAAAGGCATCGACTTTATTTTCTTTTTACTTTTTATTTACTCTGGATGCACAGGTTCTGACTGTCTTAGCTCCAGCTTCATTATTGCCTTACCTTACTTGAAATTCTTCCAGACAGTTTGATAAATGAATTGCTAAGTGAACCAGCATCACTTGTTCTTTCTAGAGAGCTCTCAGCAGACAATGCTCCTAAAACACAGATTTCCCAAATACCAGGAAAAGAGAGAAAAAAAAAAGAAAAAAAAAAAACCTTTCAGAATAGCAGCTGCATACTGCATATGTGCTATGTTTATGGAAAGAGTAAACATGAAAAACAGACACATTTGGTTTTAATTCACTTTGACTGACCCAACGAGTCCTCCCCAGAGATAACAGTCAGGTCAGCCCATAAATTTTCAAGTAAGTACGCATGATTTTAGCTGCATGTCCTCTATTAAAAAAGCCAGAAAGTTGTGTGGCTCAGCATCTCTGAGCAGACATCCAGCACAGAGCCCAGCACAAAACTGGCTTGTTTGTGGTCTGCTTCACCAGAGGCCAGCCCTTTCATCGGCACACACACATCAAGAGTCCGTATAAACCCCTGCTTCTGTAGTTAGAAGTACCTCACCTTACAGGAGGCAAGAGGCAGGGGCTCAGACATGACACACTGAGTAATATCTTACTCTGCAAGGAGCCTCGCCGAAGCCAACAGATGAACTCATGGACTATTGAACACGGCTATCGCAATTTGATCCATGATTACAGCTTCTGGGAAAATGTTCCCGCTTCTTCCCTCCACCCAAGTTTTAGACAAGCAAAGGGATTTTTGTCATAGAAGTGTAAATTTTTGCTTTATCTTAGTTCTTTATAGCAACATAAATCTGGGAAGTCCTGACGCAGGTGCCAAAAACGTGGTCCTATTAATTACAGTCACAATGTTGTAAATTTCTAAATGAGATGTTAGACGTGTTAAATTCCCCACAGCAACTTGGAGCACTGGACCACACTGGGGTGTCCTGGCTCCAGTGGCATCCACCCCATCAAAACCTTCTTCCCCTGCTTAACTTTCAGCATCTTTTTGTGTGCTCTGCTGAGCCCAAGCCATAGGATGCAATGAGAAGCGTCTTTTGTCGAGAGCTGCGCTAATCCACGCTGGCTGATTTAATTATTGTAATGATTTTGGTGTGTGATGTGTTGCATTTGGTGTAATTCTGGTTTTTACTTCACTGACAGAGTGCCAATTTTGACTTATCATTGGGCAATGACCGTCATTGCTCAAGGAAACCATCCTGCTTAAGTGGTACCCAATGCAAGTCTCTTACATTGCTCTGAGATTTGAAAATGCTAAATTCACTCTCAGCAAAGGCATGGCTGGAAGCACAGGACAGCCCCAATGTACACCAATTTATCTTAATTTCTCACATTCAAGCCAACTGCTCTCAGTAATATTCCACTGAGGAGGTGATATTGATGAAACTCAGCCAAATACAAGAGCAAAATCCCTTTTTTCAATTAGATGTTTTTAACATCTCCAAACCAGAGTTCCATCATGTGACAGCATCTTGAATTAATTGAGCTATGGGCAATCCTCATTCTTTGTGTGTACTATGAAATGTAGGAAACACAGATGCTGTCTGTTTAAACTGTCAAACAAGTTTCCTGATGGTAGCTATCATGTCTACTACAGACTGTTGGTTTAGCAAATGTTGTGAATGCAAAGTTGGAACATGTGTGCAAAATATTCCAAGCTATAAACATCAGAATCATTAGAAGCTTCTTGAAGGTTTGTACCAACGTTGCGAGAGGAGCTGTAACTGCTCTGGCCATTTTGCTGGAGGCATTCAAGACGCCTTGACCACATCTATGCCAAAAAAGCCTCATTAACCAAGAAGAAACCCTTAAAAAGGCAGGCAAATAATGAGACTGCTTGGAGCATTGGCTAATACGCTCCAAGCATAGCACGCTAACAGCAAAATAAATAGCACAGGTAACTTATGATCTTTTTTGTTAACACACTCCCTTAAAGATGCAGTGATTAACTCAGCAAGAAAGTAGAGACATCTCAGATGCTGTGCCTAAGAGCCAGATACCACCTTTCCGCGCATACTTCTAAAGGTAACATTTCTGACAAGTGTGACAACCAAGAGAGCTTCATGGGGCAGACACACCAAAGTTACAACCACAGGCATACAGAAGGAAAGAGGGACAAGGCTGAAAGCTTTCAGAAAAGGAATAAGATCAGAGGATGTGCCACTGTCACGTGTCACACCCTAGCTTTAGCCTTTTAAGAAATGCATTTTCTGGTTTTGCTGTAGCACCTGATTATTTCTTGATCCAGACAATTTTCAGCTCCTG